AAAAAAAAGAAACAGAAACAAAACCTAATATTTAGTAAATTAATTAAATGAATTGAAACTAACTTAAGAAACCAAATTAATACATACCAGGGGTGCCAGGCATGCACAGCGACCATAAACAACCAGCGAATGCGAGCCTCACAGGACGCAGCTTTAAACACACACGGCCTGAGAATTACGCACAAGAGAGTGATTAGCAGGGAGCTAAGCAACAGTTGAAAATGAACAGGCAGACAACGTGCGGACAACATACCAGAGCGGACCAGTAGCTGAACACAGCGAGGCTCCAGCGAGCCACTCCCGCCTCCCCCGGACCAAGCAGTCAGCTGCGCTGCAAGGAGTGGAGAGCCTGTGACCAAACTGCGCATTACGCACATACAGAGCAAAAGGGGAAGACCGCAAATGCTTACCGGGGTAGAGAAGATTTGTGTGCCTCGACGGCGGTCACAAACACGGGACGGCTGCACCAAACAAATGCTGCACGCCAAACAACGTTGACACGCCACGCCACAGCCACCACGGGAGCAAGCGAGGAGCGGAAGAGAGGACGGGGCGCGGCCTCACGCCTGAATATAATGGCGCGCATGGCCCCGCCTCGCAATCACGGTGGTTGGAAAGCAAACACAGTGCCGAATAGTGGCAAGGAGGGAGACAACCTCCGGCTACACAAGCATGCTCACTGTCACTGTCCGCAGTCCTTTGCTGCATGCTTAGTCTACCACCTAGTCTTCTTAGTCTTCTCGGATGCAGCCTCTATCCATTTCATCAGTCATCAAGTCATCCACTACCACCTCCTCCACCAGTGTCTAGACTCCATAGGGGGGGTTTATCTTGCTGCCGCTCAGATCACAAATAATCTCCCCCTGGTGTCTAAGTGCAAAAGACTTTTGTTAAATCTTAACAGCACAAATCATCTGTAAATCTGTAAACTTATATTCCCCATTAAACTTAATCTTTATTTCATTCTTCTGTGTCTCCTGGTTGAAATTGTAGTCAATGGAGGAACAGATGAACCCTCAGAACAAACTTTGAAACACACAATGTTACACAATGCCCCATCTGCTATGTGCCTAAGTGATTGCTGTATGAGAAAGGGGTGGGTGGTGGTATTGATCCATGGCTGCACCTATGTGAACCCCCTCTTCCTCAGAAAACACTGAGTGCACTTTGATGAAATGTCACTCCCTTCACTGGTCTGACCACACACACATACACACACACGCTTGTACTTTTTTTTTTGACAACCATCATTGACATAATGCATTAATGCATCTCCTTGCCCCTTACCCTACCCTTAACCATCACAACTAAATGCCTAACCCTTACCCTACCCCTGCCCTAAAGCTAATTCTAACATGAACCCTAAAACCAANGACCAAGACTACCTCTTTAAGAAGGCCTCAGTCCGGTTGTTTTGGTGCGCACCAAAGTGCGACTACTGTGTTCACACCTGCCCAAATGAACCGCACTTAGGGGCCAAACAAACTTGAGTTCAATTGAACCGAACAGGGCAGGTGTGAGAGCACCCTTAAGTAAAAAAAGAAAAAGAAAAAGTATGAGACTCAGAGCACAATGACAATCTTATCTGGTATACTAAATAATATGGTAGTATGGCGTACAAACACGTTTTATTCAGTAGATGACAGTGTTGCACATTTCATTCATAGTGGTTGAGGTGAGCTGACGTTTCAGGGCATCAGCTTTGGCAGAAATGAAGCTCTGGCAAAAGTTCAGTCAGGAAGATAATACTTTTTCATGCTCAGGCTGTTCTCATCCTGCCATTCACTCCTTGCACGCATGCTCACTGTCAATCTCTGGCTGTCAGTATTTGGGGCTGTCAATCGATCTCTCCGTCAGCATATCATCTTACTGCTCCTCATTTAAAATATGGTTCTTTTTCTGTCTGCAGTCCTTTGTTGCATGCTTAGTCTATCACCTAGTCTTCTCGGATGCAGCCTCTATCCATCACATCAGTCATCAACCAAAGTCATCCACTACCACCACCTCCACTCTCCCTCTAGTGTCTAAGTGCAAAAGGCTTGTGGTAAATCTTAACAGCACAAATCATCTGTAAATCTGTACACTTATATTCCACATTAAACTTAAAGGCGCTGTATGTAAGAATGTGGCCAAAAAGGTTACTGCACTCAAATTCAAAATACTGCTGCAAGTCGTGTCCGCCCCCCCTCCCCTACAGATTCGAGGTTGCTGGACAGTTGCACGCTGGAGACTGATTTGTTTGCACACGGGCGGCTGCTGTGGCAGGGCCGCGTCGCCGCATCCTTGATCTTTGGTTTTCCAGCAGACCGTTCGAGCAAGTCCGGCTTCTCTGCTGCTAACACTGCTGCCGGGATACAGCTCATGAGGAGCCGGCTGCTAATGCTATGTACCGGGACACTGCTAATGCTTCTTGCCGTGCTGCTGTACCTCAGTCGTAACTGTAACTGATGCTGAGACTCTACTCTGATTGCATGACTGGTAGACGGCGACAGGTGGCGCAACAGGCCAAAACACAAATTCAAAACATAAACATGATTTGCAGACTGCAAAAATGTTTTTTAAATGCGAATATTCTGGCTGTACTATAGAGTGTGCCAGGGCTGACATCAAAACCTGGAAGTTTAGCATCGTCCTGGTTCCCGGAAGAGAAAGTCAATGTGATTTTTGTATTGCGTTTTTGATTATGTCAGAAAATAAGCTCTGTGGCTAACACAAGTTTATGATACTAACAGGTTTTGTTCAGTGAGATAATCTTCATATATGAACAGCTTTCATACCGTATTTGAAGCTTAAATGCGATCGCCAGAAGTAAAAAGCTAACGTTAGGCTTTAACGGACTATATGACTACTCCACGGTTGCATGACTCTCGACGTCACCACCACTAAGCTTTCAACTGATTTCGGCCGCTTTATTTTAAAAACATTGTATAATGGGGAAATCAGACTGTTTAAGCTAAATAAGAAGCTGTAATGGTGGACTGCCAGCACTCTCGTCTGTTCGGGGGTGATGACAATTAATGTTCCCAACAGGGTTTGTAGTCGTTTTGAGCAACTTGTTAGCAACCGCCTTTTTTACCCCTGCTCTAAAGCTAATTCTAACATGAACCCTAAAACCAAGTCTTAACCCTCAAACAGGCTTTTGAAAAAGTGAGGACAAGCTCAAATGTCCTCACTTTGCAAAAAATGTCCTTACTCTGTTGCTAAAATATATTTTGTGGTCCCCACTGTGTAGCATGTATAAGTACACACACACACACACACACACACACACTAACAAAACTAATTGTAGCTACAGTATGACTGCAGCGATGAAACCTGTTGATTTTTTTCACACATTTGACTTCCTTCCTTGAAGCCTGGTAATGTTTAAATAGTGTGTCAAGCACTACATGAATAAAACTGAAGAATGTCTGAACAGAAAATTGTGTTTTTTGGAAACAACAACTAACAGCATGTGACATGTGGAGGATCAGTACCACACAGAGAAAATTCTGTAGATTTTTGATTATTGATTTTAGACGTGGGACAGAAATTATTTTTAAACTTTAGTTTGGAACCCGAACAGTCTCTACCACATCATGTTGCTCATCACAGCCACACATAAGTGAGTCGGTGCTGTCAAGCTACAAGTACACATAACAGATCCACTGGGTACATTAAGTGCAACCAGCATCAGACTGTTGTAAAATCACCACATATCACCCCGTGCCTATGCCTACACCAAATGTATTGTTCTGATTATTTATTCTACACATTTTCTTTTCATTTTCTGCACTTCAACAGGCTTGTCGGAGACTGACTGCTCATCCAGCTCAACTGTGAATCAGTTTAAACCTCTCATTTAGATTAGGCTATGGCTCATGCAGGACCATCTGTTTTTTCCAGTCTTTCACCTGGTTACTCCAACCTGAACACCAGGTAACCAGGGTAACGGCTGTGTCATCTTTTTCAACACCAGGCTCGCCAAAGTGTCTCCTGTGGCTCACTGGCTCTCATCATGTGATAAACAACATGATGTGGCAGAGATTGTCCAGGTTCCAATCTAAAGTTTAAAATTAATTTCCAGTCTAAGTTACAGACAACAATAAGTTTCCTCTGAGAAAAATGGTTAGTGTGTCACCATGATGGGGACAGCCCCATGAATGAGTGAAAGTAGTGAATGTGATAGGCCATGATTGTCACAGCCTCTAAAGCACCCACATCATAAAAACGTCAGAACGGCTCGTCCGTCATAATCCAAGTGCCCTGAAGCCGCAGCATACAAAATTGACTTGAAAAGGACATAATTTGCTTCACTTATATAGCATAATTTCTCACCGTGGTCAGTTAGCCTGCCCTGCAGGAGTGCTGTGTTTACAACTCTTGCCATGTAAACACAGCACTCCTGCACGGCACTTGGATTATGACAGATGAGCCGTTCTGACGTTTTTTTGAAATGCATTAGTGGAGTTTTATTACATTTTCAAAATGTGGGTTCCATGCACTTCAAGTGTAGCTGTTATTCCGGCTAGCTGTTATCCTCNCTAGAAAACAATGTTTTGATGCATTGGATGTGCTGAATGTGCATATTAAGGCAGTACAGGAGGAGGTGCACATTAATAATCCTCCAGGACTGTAACATACTCATGTTTAACCCAAACAATGTGTCATGTGACTGCAGTTGGTTCAGATCGAGGTTAGAACACGTTCTCACTACAAACTAACTGCACCAGAGTTCGTTTGTATCCGCACCAAGACCACCTCTTTAAGAAGGTCTCAGTCCGGTTGTTTTGGTGTGCACCACAGTGCAACTACTGTGTTCACACCTGCCCAAATGCCCTTTTTTGACAACCGTCATTGACATAATGCATTAATGCATTCCCTTGCCCCTTACCCTAACCTTAACCATCACAGCTAAATGCCTAGCCCTTACCCTACCCCTGCCCTAAAGCTAATTCTAACATGAACCCTAAAACCAAGTTTTAACCCTCAAACAGGCTTTTGAAAAAGTGAGGACCAGCTCAAATGTCCTCACTTTGCAAAAATGTCCTCACTCTGTTGCTAAAATATGTTTTGTGGTCCCCACTGTGTAGTATGTATAAGTACACACACACACACAAACAAAACTAATTGTAGCTACAGTATGACTGCAGCAATGAAACCTCTTGATTTTTTTTGAAGCTTGGTAATGTTTAAATAGTGTGTCAAGCACTACATGAGTAAAAGTGAAGAATGTCTGAACAGAAAATTGTGTTTTTTGGAAACAACTAACAGCATGTGACATGTGGAGGATCAGTAACGCAGACTTAGGAGACTTGGGACGGAAATTATTTTTAAACTTTAGTTTGGAACCCAAACAGTCTCTACCACATCATGTTGCTCATCACAGCCACACATAAGTGAGTCGGTGCTGTCAAGCTACAAGTACACATGACAGATTCGCTGTGTACATCAAGTGCAACCAGCATCAGACTGTTGTAACATAACCACATATCACCCCGTGCCTATGTGT